CCATCCATCCATCCATCCATCCATCCACCCATCCATCCATCCATCCATCCATCATATTTACCCGCTTCTTCCTTTTCGGGTAGCTGGAGTCACAGGTGCCCATGTCCAGCCATCACTGTGTGAGAGGTGGGGACAACCTGGACAGGTCTCAAGTCCATTTCAACCGGCGGGTCAGTGGACGCGTGGACGCTCACGTGCGCGGCCAGTGACAGGTTGTCCATCTGAGCTTAACGTGCCTTTTTTTTAACCTCTTAAACCGGCCGGTCGGACCTGCCTCCTCCTCAACAAGCAGATGAACATTATTTTATGTTGTTCATTCTTTAGTTTTCTTTGTGCTGATTCATAAAACCACATCAAAGCCTGAGACCGGCCCGGCCTGCACATTAAGCACATTATATGGACCGGCCCGGTCGTGACAACGCAGTGCGTTAACATCATCTCCGGAAGATGTCCATAAATTTCAGCTAAATCTTTGATTATCCCGTGTGAATGCGTCACATCAAAAGCAGACGTTGGGGAGTAATTTATTGATTACATGTGGTCCCCAGGTAAAACTGGTCCTGTGTGAATAGGACGTAAGGATGAGCAGCTATGTTTATACCGTAAACATGTTTTTTTGACAGTGAAGCTGTTGAAGATGACGGAGGACATGTCCCATAGGGACGATGGTCCATGGGGACCACTTCTTTAATAAAACATTTATTTCAATTTTTATACTTCACGTTTGTACAAAAAAGCTGCATATCATATTTTATTGATAAGTAACAAAGTGTGCTCATATTTAGTACTAACCTGATCCCACCTTGATGTGTTTTTAGGTTTCTGGGCTCGTGAAGTGGGTCAGATGATCGGGTTGGAGCACCCCACCATCCCTGTGCACCATCAGTACGTGGTGACAGCGACGGTTCCTGAGGTGAAGGCTCTGAAGAAGGAGCTGGCCGTCATCAGGGATCTGGAGGGCTCCTACTATCTGCGCCAGGAGAGGGATGGTCTTCTCTTTGGTCCTTATGAGAAGATGGAGAAGATGGTGCTGCAGGACTCGTGGGTCAGGGATGGAGTTCCTCCAGGTCTGAGCTGAGTCCCCCTTCACTCTTTACTTGTTCATAGTTCTTTACATATTTGTCTGTACTCCAACTACCTCATCGTACTTTCAGCTGTTTCAGTGTTTCAGGAACCGAAGCGTTCGGCTTGTTCAGGACGTTACAGCAATAATTTTTTGTTGTTTGGAACTTTTATAATTCTTGAACAATTTAACTGTATTTACATTTTTTATAGAATTGTAATGTCTCTTCAAATCTTTAAAGATTTTTGTGCTGTTTGAAATAATATTTAGCATACTTGCTTCATTTGTAGCTTTTAGCTACTGGATGCCTGATATTAGCTTAACTTTTCTGCTAATTTAGCTTTTAGCTGTTGTTTTGCTAGTTTTAGTGTTTGCACGTCTTGCTTGACCTGGAACAGTTTAAGCTTCTCTAACAAATGTTAATGAAGCCATTCGGTTGATTTTCAGCAGAACACAGTTCTTGTAGGGTTCATTGCTGCAGAACTTTAGACCTTCTAGAGGCTAAATGGTTTGTCTCTGTGCTTGCTGAAGGTTTTGGAAAGGAACTGTTTGAATCAGACCTCGACAGGATCATGGAACACATCGAGATGGCCATGGAGATGGTTCCTGTCCTGAAGACAGCGGACATCATTAACGTCGTGTCTGGACCGATCACGTACACCCCTGACCTGCTGCCCATGGTGGGACCACATCAGGGAGTCCAGAACTACTGGACTGCTGTTGGCTTCGGGTGTGTATTCAATCAGGAGACGTGTTAGTAAGAAAACATTTTATGACTTTATGAAAAGCAACATGGAGTTTGTTGTCAGACTGGCATTTATCTGGCAACATGAAGAACAGCAGCTTGATTCAGCTCAGTGACGCAGAGGTAGATGTAAAAAAACATTATTTTAAAAATGAATCGTTGCTCTCCACTGAAAGGCAAAAGATGGGTGCAAATACTGATGTGCATCTACTGATTAGCTCTGGAGTCAGCCCAGTTCCAGATTCATTCAACCTTTATTTCTACAGGCTAGTCCCATTGAGCCACGGGGACTCATTTACAAGAGAGACCTGATTTTTTAACAAAGAGTGATGACAACAGTGGACAACAACAACAGAGGCGCAAATTTATATATATATTTTTTTACAAGTTTAAATAAAATGGCAACCAAAAGGACAGATGGTCTTAACATTTAGTAGACTTTAGGTAAAGAGCTAAAGTTTGGTGTGTTGTAGCCGAGAGTCACCTTCAACACATACTCTGGGTGCTGAAATGATGATCACACAACGTTACGCATTCATTCATTCAACCTTTATTTATACAGGCTAGCCTCATGGAGCCACGGGGACTTATTTACAAGAGGGACCTGTTCCAGACAGAACATATAAAGTACAGACTACAAGAACAGTAAACAATGACAACAATAAACTGCAGTAAAAGTGATGTTAAAATAAGAGTAGTGTACAAAACAATAAATCAGGTAACAGGGTCAAATACTAAAAGCAACAACATATCTGTTTTGATGTTTCTATTGACATTATCAAATGTTTGAAACCCCTTAAAAGAAATCAAGGAGGACAACTTCAGTTCCTGCTGCAAGGTGTTCCAGGTGCAGGAGCTGAGTAGGTAAAGGCCTTTTTGCCAAGTTCAGTCCACACTGAGGGAACGAACGCTGCAGGTAATGAAGTCCTGAGAGTGCATGCTGTAACTGCACCGACGGCATAACATGTGGGAGGAGATATAAGAAGGCAGCAGACCAAGGAGGGATTTATAGATGAAGATGAACCAGTGTGAGAGCCTACATGTGGATAATGATGACCAACTGACCAAGGAGTACAGGGTGCAGTGGTGGGTACAGTTACAACCAGTTATGAATCTTAGTATGCCATGATAGACAGCATCCAACATCTGCAAACAGCTGGCAGGAACATTCATGTAAATAATGTCACTATAGTCAGTGGCTGGTAGGAAGGTAGAGGTTACAAGGTGTTTTCTGGCATTCAGAGTTAAGCATGATATATTTCTGAAAAATAAACCCAGTTTTAATTTAATTTTCTTTATCAAGTTTTTGATATGTGGTTTAAAAGAGAGATGTGCATCGACCAAAATTCCCAAGTATTTGTAAGAATCTACAAACTCAATAGGGACACCAAGCATGGATGAGAGAGGAGGAGTTGCTGGCACCAACTTTCTGTTAGAAAACAACATCCCTTTGGTTTTGTCAGCGTTTAGCACCAGTTTGAGATGGAACAAGTCTGACTGGATGATGTCAGATGCAGACTGTAGAAGCTGGAAAACCCTGGCAACTGTGTTAGCGCGGCAATAAACAACAGTGTTGTCAGCATAGAGATGCAAGGATGTGTCAGGAATGTTTTGACATTATTTATATAAATTGTAAAAAGAGTGGGACCTAAAACTGAGCCTTGTGGCACACCATTGGTGACGTTAGGTAGATAGATGAAGTACCGTTATGTCAAACACATTGCCTCCAACCTGAGAGATAGTTTGAGAACCAACCAACAGTGTGATCCGAGAAGCCAGTATCTGAGAGCTTGTGGCAGAAGATGTGATGATGTACAGGATCAAAGGTTTGGACAGGTCTAAGAAAAGTGCAGCTCAGTAATCCTTAGCGTCCAAAGCTTCAACAATGTTATTAAAAACTTTTAGTGAAGCAATCATTGTGCTGTGTTGTTTCCTGAAGCCAGAATGGAGAGAAGATAAAATATTAAAATAGTCCAAATACTTCTTGACTTGAGTATTTATCCATTTTTATAAAACCTGAGCTAAAATACAGAGTTTGGAATTTGGTCGATAATTGTTCAGTATAGTGGGGTCTCCTCTTTTCAATAATGGCAGCATAAAAGCTGTTTTCCATGTGTCATACATTTTCAATCTGCTGTAACAGAATACTGTCCCAGATGCTTGGAAATCAATCAACCTGTCTAAATAAAGGTTGATTGATTTCCAAGCATCTGGGACAGTATTCTGTTACAGCAGATTGAAAATGTATGACACCTGGTTCTTGTGCAGCTAGACTTCAGAAGTAAGGAGGAGGTCATCAGGGCTGCAGATTTTCTAGTATCCAGATCTTCTAACAGTTTGGTAACCTCACTGACAGAGAACGGTGAAAAACAGAATGTATGGTTTACTGAGGTTTGACTTGTTGCTGGAGGTGATTTACCTTTAGAAACTGTATCAAATAAGGAACTGGAGGCAACAAAATGTTTGAAACAACTTAGCATCTCATGCTTCTCTGACACAGGAGCAGAGTTGACAAATAATTGTGGTGGCAGGTCACATGAGTGAGAGCTGCCATCAAGAGATTTAATAGTTTTCCAGAAGCTCTTAGGATCATTTAGATTTTTGGTGGTTTGAGCTAAATAGTAGTTTTGTTTTGCTGCTTTAATGGAAGCCGTACAGCGATTCCGTAACTGATGAAATTGCAACCAGTCGGTGTCCAAACCAGTCTGTGTTGCTGTTAGCTAGTTCAGAAGTAAACCAAAGGCTGTCCCGGCCCTTTACTCTGAACAGTCCAAGTGGAGCGTGTTTGTTTAGAAAATGAATTAAACTGTTATGAAAATAGTTCCAAGCAAGATTCACGTCATCAATTAATGGTATGATGCCAGTCAAAGTAGAACAGATCCCAAAGAAATGCTTGTTCACAAAAATGTTTTATATTCTGTTTTAGAATCGTTCTAGGTTTAAAATGAGGCAGTTTTGTATTTCTAAGAGCAGCAACTCCACAATGGTCACTTAGATCATTTGTAAAAACACCAAACCCAGTGTATTTATGTGGCATGTTTGTGATGATAAGATCCAGGAGAGATGATTTGACAGGACACTTTGGATTAGGCCGAGTGGGACTATCAATGATCTGACTAAGATTTGAAGATAAACAAAGTTCTTTAAATTCCTCAGACACAGGAGAGAGCCAGGCTAAATTAAAATCACCTACCAGAACCATTTCAGTGGGATGTAAAGTAGGTAAGAGCTCATTAAAGACAACAGGCTTTCAGATGTAGCAGTAGGGGGTCTATAGCAGCCAAAAACAGATAACAACTGACCAACAGACAATTCAATGTTTAGGGCCAAGATTTCAAATTGTTTAGGTGCTGATTTTGTAAATACCAGTTGTGTTGCCAAGCTAGATCTGACATATTTTGCTACACCTCCTTTTCGGGGGCGATTTGAACAATAAATATTGAAACCTTTAATTGAAACATGTTTGTCCAGGATAGATTTAGTTAACCAAGACTCAGAAATAACAATAATATCAGCACCAGTAGAAGAAGCCCAAATCCTCACCATATCTATTTTAGGGAGGAGGCTACGAGCATGAATGTGTAAACCTGACATGTTTTTTCACATCATGTCTTTTTCAAGGTTTGACCAAAGCAGCCATCATTCTGAACACAGGATGATGTTAACAACAAAGTTTGTGTTTGTTCTTGAGGCGCTCATTGGTTGGGATGAGCTAAAACAAACCCAACACACTCCGAGGCACTCTCTCTGTCTTCTTCTTTCGGCTGTTCCCTGCGTTAGATGTCACCACAGCGAACTAAGTCGCATGAAGACTTGGCAGTTATTTTTACTCCAGATGTTCTTCCTGATGCAACCACAGACCACCGAGCTACCACAGCCCTCTGCGTGGAGCAGAGAGCTGCTATCTAGGACACCCGGAGGAGCAGATGGTGGGGGTTAAGGGCCTTGCTCAAGGGCCCAGAGTGGGGTGAATGAGGGTGGGGTCAGGTGTGGGTGCTTCACCTACCCCACCCACATTTTTGATTCTGTCGGTACCTGGGCTTGAACCGGCGATCTTCTGATCACAGGCCCACCTTCTCAAACCTCTGTGCCACCAATCCGAGGCACTCTCTCTGTAAACTGGTTAAAATGCCTTGATTCTTCACGACACTGCACCGGTAAAAACACTATTTCTGCTTACTCATCATGAAGAAGAGGTCCAGTAGTCAGAGTAATCTCACCTGAAGAACCTTGATCACTAACACGCTGAACATTAGTCAGAAACATGAACACAAAAACAACAAAAACTGTTTTAAAAGTCTCAAAATAGAAGGTAATAAAAACGAACAATTCTCAAAAATCTCAAAATCTGTAAGAATAAAAGCTCAGAGAGGCTTGTTCTTTCTAAACACAAAAGGCCTTTTCTTCTTTAACGTTTCTAAGCCCAGCTCATTTTTGTCACCCATAGCAGGGGGGAACTGAAAATACCTCCATCCATCCGTCCCTGAACGATGTGAGAACTTGGAAAAACAAACGAGTTACCAACTTTTATTTTGGTGTCTGGCTACATCAGACACAAGAAAGGCTCCTTTCAAAGGTGGGATGCCATGTCCAAATCCAAGATCGCTGCCACCATATATATATATATATAGACATATAT